GCCGTCGGCAGAGGTCAGCGATTGCAAAGGTCACAGTCCGAGGTCGCAGTACAAGGTCACGAGGTGGGATGTTCACTTGTTGTCGCGGCGAGAGGTGCGACGAGGGGGCGACGACGCTGTGGCAGATACATACGCTTGCTGACAAGATGTTTGGTTTTAGTCGTGCTTCTACCCAAGGCCGTACGCAGGAAATTTTCTGTAGGGGGGCCAAAGGTACTCCCCATGCCCTGTGCCCCTAACAGTCTTTGCTATATTTCACATTTCTTTTATATTTAACGAATCTAATTATTTCTTTGATGAATTAAGATAACCTTTTCACATTCTATTTTATCTTCTAAAAGTGGTAACAGTATCTGTGTCCATTAAAAGCATACTCTTGAAAACTCTAGGGGGGCAACTCTGCCGCTGCTGCACCCCCTGCTTGCGTACGCCCTGCATTCGCCGCATGGTATCCTCCCTCTACTACACCCAGCTACACGGTCGCTCTGTCCGGTGCGGGGCCAGGAGCTGTGGTTTTAGCAACACGTATACATAGTATACATAATATATATATATATTTATACATATATATATATAGCACGTGTAGCGTCGTAGATTGTGTGATATATGTGGTCACGTGGTACGTAGTCGGTGGTGTGATATATATGGTCACGTGATACGTCCTAGATTGTGTGATATATATGGTCACGTGATACGTGGTAGATTGTGTGATATAGCTGGTCACGTGATACGTGGTAGATTGTGTAATATGGTCACGTGATACGTGGTAGGCTGTGTGATATATAGTTAGGCAGTGGTGCAGTGTATCGTCCGTCGTCGGTCACGTGACGCGTGTAGAGTCGTAGTCGTCTGTAGCCTTCAGCTTTCTAACTAAGATGTAAGCTCTCCCACAAACACAAATGTCGCGATACTCCCGGTCATCGTCAACGATCGTAATTTGCATGTCGTGCGACGACATTTCGATTGTCACGCGATTAAAAAACCCGTCGCAGTTTCGAATCGTCGCGGTTACGTGGAGAGTGGCGCCATCTACCGGTGTGCCACGTCGGCGCGGTCGGTGTGGTGTCACCGTCGCGTCACTGTGACGTCACCGTCACGTGGAGAGATTGTAGAGCGATCGTTGTTCCTTGGGAGGCTGAGAAGATCTGTTTATCTGTCCGTAAGAACAGAGTTGATCTGTTTGTCTGAGCAGGGTCACTATACGCTCGCCTCGACTGTCGTCCGTCGCTCGAGTTAGACGAGACTTTTACGCATTTTTCGCGCGTGCATGCCAAAATGTCGACTTTGCCGCACCCGGCAGTTAGGTGCGATATGATATGACTACTAGGCACTTAGGATATGACTACTAGGCACTTAAAAAAAACAACCCTAACCCTAAAAAAAAATTAAATTAAATTAAATTAAAGTGCCTAGTAGTCATATCATATCGAACCTTTCTGCCTTCTGCACTTTGCCGCTTTGGACTTGGAGACTTTGTCACTAAGCATTGTCATTAGAACCTCTCGTCGCAGCAATGGCGCGGCCGTCTGTGAGTCGGACCGGGTGGCATGGGGATGTCGATTCGGTAATATGTTAGACAGACGTGTGTGGTGAACGACCTCAACGATCCATATGCTAGGGATTTAAAAAAAATTTGAACAAAAATGTTATACTATATCACTGACTATATGTATACTACTACTATTGTTTCAAGTCGTTCTGTACAGTCGTGTGTGTGTGTGTGTGTGTTATTTGCCTGGTTGCGTGTACGTGATGTAACGCCATGATAATAAACAGAAAACGTTGATGTATATAGACGCACACGTGTGTTACATGTATGTATGTTTTATCACTGATTGCACATGCGTTACTAATATAAAATGCGAAGGATTTCGGATGAGAGCGCGATCTCGATTGGTCGGTAATTCCATTTTCGTCTGGATTCGGATACATACCCCTAAATTCGATGTTTCTAGTTAATTATTTGCTCAATATGAGGTAAACCCATGGTTTAGGTGAGAACAGGGAACAGGAACAGTGAGGAGTAGTCGGCTGAAGCGCCAACCGATTTACTCCAAAGTCGGCGGCAGATGGCGCTACTATGTTAATAGTTTCTTGTAAGCTGGGATGGTAATCGTTGGGGGATAGATTCACTCGCCAAAG